AAAATAGGGATGCAGGTGGCGCTGTGGGTTAAACCACCGAGCCTAGGGCTTGCCGATCGGAAGGTCGGTGGTTCAAATCCCCACAACAGGGTGAGCTCCCATTGTTTGGTCCCAGCTCCTGCCAACCTAGCAGTTCAAAAGCACGTCAAAGTGCAAGTAGATAACTAGGTACCACTCCGGTGGGAAGGTAAAAGGCGTTTCCGTGTGCTGCTCTGGTTTCGCCAGAAGCGGCTTAGTCATGCTGGCCACATGACCCGGAAAGACTGTCTGCGGACAAACGCCGGCTTCCTCAGCCAGTAAAGCGAGATGAGCACCGCAACCCCAGAGTCGTCCGCAACTGGACCTAACGGTCAGGGGTATCTTTACCTTTATATCAATAATATGTATATGGCTCTTTGATCATTATTGGACTGTTTCATAATGCTCATGCCCCAGCAGACTAAACTGAAGCCTGGAAATGCAGAAAAACACCCAACACCTGTGGATGATAAAACACTCATGCAAATGTTAGTCTATATATAGATGCATTTAGTCGCATTTCAAAATAAGCATAGAGATGTTATGGTGACTCATTGTTTCCACCACAGATATGGATTTTGCCAAAATTGATATTATGCTGCATATCATAATAGTAATTATGGAACTACATGAATAATAATAGGGTTAGGGTTATGAATTATTATTATTATTCATTTCATTTCTATACCACTTACGGTAATATTTTTAAAGAAAAAAAATCTCAAAGCGATTTACAATCTGCATTGACACATCAAAGAAAACAGTCCAGAATAAAGCATTACTGATTTAAAACATTACTGAAGAAAGTCAAGTATACACTCAAAGCAACGTAATTAACAGGATATTAAAATATTACCTTAAAGGTTTCAAACAAAACATGACAAAAGTGGTCAGTGACAGAGTGCACATTTAACACAGCAAAGTTAACAAAAAATAATAATCTTAAACATTTCAAAAGAAAACATTGCTAAAGAAAGTCCAATATAAAATACACATTTAAAGCAAGATAATAAAACATTATCAATAAGCATAGAACATATCTGCTGCTGTTGCTGCCACTCCTGCCAGTGGTGGTTCATAGTGGGTGGTGGCTATGGAAACTCAGGATCCATGACCTCAGTCTGCACTAAGAGACTTCCAAGACGATCTCTGGCCTCTTCAGCATACTGAATCCAATTTTTCACACTTAGCTACCCTGCTCAGAGGTTCTTAAACAGGTGTTATTAAGGGATCATATATTTTTTAAAGCAGACGCAATTTCTAAAGACTTCATATGTTTTCAGTATCCAGAATTATTTGCAAACCTGCCCATACGACAAAGAAGAGGAATCTTACTATATGGGGCTCCAGGAACAGGGAAAACTTTGTTAGCAGGTGTAGTTGCCCGAGAAAGTGGAATGAATTTTATCAGCATCAAGGTAAGAATGTAAGATTTTTCAGGATTTATTGCAGTAACTGAAAATACAAAGATGTGTTCCATAAGTCAGAATCCAATAAGGTGATAAAAATTATATGCTACAGTTTGTCTTTCAGAAGCTCTCATATGTTTTAGTAAATTTATTTGTTTGTGATGCACACACATATGGAATATGAACACATCTGGATTATGACCCATGGTATTTAGCCTAAAGAAAATAGTCCAACTTTCTACAGTCCAAATCAACACAGTCCAAACAGCAACCTTAAACCCTTGGGCAAAGTAGCTTCATTTTTGCCATAGATTTTTTTGGGGCACACTACTTAATGGGTTTCAATTCCTTTCTGTCCTTGTGTGTGTTTGTTCTCCCCCTCCCCCTGCCTGCCTGCTCTTTAACAAGCAGTGTTAATGTGATCCCAGTAGAGTAGACCATAAGTAGAAACTACTGGACCAGTCTCATGTTCAAGGTATGTTCCTTTGGAAACCTATATTTTGTAATGTTTTTAAACAGTCTGTAATTGCCATAGCCCAAACAGTACTTTGTTATGCCACAGTTTATACACTTTACTTTATAAGTATTGATTAATTAAATAGCTCAGGTTGCAGAGAGTATTTTTCTCTTTCTCTCTTTTTTTTTTTTTTTACAGGGACCAGAACTGCTCAGCAAATACATTGGAGCAAGTGAACAAGCAGTTCGAGATGTATTTAACAGGTTAGATCCAGATTTATGGTGTTGCTGATAGATTCTGGTTTTGGAAGTAGTGCTGAAAATAGATGCTGGATTTGTAATGTGGAGAAGAAACAGGCTTAGTAAGTGTAAGTTGGGGAGGTGTGAAATAACAAGACTTGCTGATATCACATGTCCAATCTTGGCAGGGTCAGTTTATTCCTTTTGTCCTAATTGTGTTGTATTTATTGCAGAGCACAGGCAGCCAAGCCTTGCATACTTTTCTTTGATGAATTTGATTCCCTCGCTCCTCGAAGAGGTCATGATAACACTGGTGTAACTGACCGCGTTGTTAATCAACTGCTGACTCAACTAGATGGAGTAGAAGGCTTAGAAGGTAATGATCAAATCATCTCTGTTTCTTCCAGGAAAAGGTTAAGGTGGCATTTTATTAATAAAGTCTCTTTCTTTTTCTAAGGAGTTTATGTACTAGCGGCCACTAGTCGCCCTGATTTGATTGACCCTGCTCTGTTGAGACCAGGCCGATTGGATAAGTGTCTGTATTGTCCACATCCTGATCAGGTAAGAAGCAAAACACTGTACCAAATATTGAAAGGAAGACTCACTTCTATGTGGATTAATGTCCATTCCATGCTTTTGATGGCTGAGTTTCCATGAACAAAAGATGAAGTCGTTTTGAAACAGATTCAAGTTTGATTCTATTTTATTTTTTCATTAGATTGGTGGTGGTAGAATTCTATGTCAAGGCAATGATCTTGTATAGTCTAATGATTTCTCTCAGGCCTTTCTCATCTTAGGTTTGATGCTGTCGACTGTAGGCATTGGTGTGTGTATTCTATGATCTACAGGTGTGTTAAAAGAAGATAAGAATGTGGCAGTGGGTACAGAATCTGGCTTCCAAAGAATCTCATCGTGCTATTATAAAAAGCAAGTTGCAAGTCCTTTATGGTTGAGAAGAGATGCGTGAAAATGTATAGAAAATTCAAAATAATGTTTACATCACTGGGTCCTTCCACATATTGTTTTACCTTCTCCAGTGCCCTTTTCCTTATTGGAAAAATACACAGAAGTCTGAAAAACAAAACATTAAGTACTGTCTAAGGGCAAGAAATCAGTATTTTATTAACAGGGTTACTTCTAATTTCCTTAGGCTTCCCGACTGGAAATTTTAAGAGCACTGAGTCATTCTCTCCCTCTGGCACATGATGTGGATTTTCAGCATTTGGCAGAAAAAACAGAACATTTCACAGGAGCAGACCTAAAAGCTTTACTGTATAATGCACAATTGGAGGCCGTGCATGCTAATTTTGGTTCAACCTTGCCCCAGGTAAGTGCACTGAAATTTAAAGGATTTCCTTAAAAATCCTTAAGAGTTTGCTACTCATAACATTTTTGAATGGTAAAATTATTTCTCACTAATAATTTTAGGCTGCTTTTCCAGGCAAATAACAAATCCCAAATGACTTGCATTCCAAATATCCGAAGGAAATACAGTAATATAACATTTCAGACTTAAAACTAAAACTCATCAACATTCCATTTATTTATTTTTTAACAGGGCCAAAAATAATGCAACTCAACCAAACCATCATGCTTTGGAAGGCCAGTTGAGAAAGAGTGTTCTTCATGGCCTTCTGGAAACCCTGAGACATAGAAATTTGATACAGGTCCATAGGAAGATTCTTTCCCTTGTGGCCACTCATCTTAGCAATCTAGGGGATGGGCATACCAGGGGAGACGCCAAAGCAGATCTTAAAGTGCAGGAAGTCCAGTAGCTTGGCCACAATCTGAAACTGGTAACCTGGGCACTAAAATACTTAATATTCCAATTACAGTGGTACCTCTGGTTAAGAACTTAATTCGTTCTGGAGGTCCATTCTTAACCTGAAACTGTTCTTTAGCTAATGGGGCCTCCGAGCTGCTGCCGCGCCGCTGCCGCCGCACGATTTCTGTTCTCATCCTGAAGCAAAGTTCTTAACCCGAGGTACTACTTCCGGGTTAGCGGAGTCTGTAACCTGAAGCGTTTGTAGCCTGAAGCATTTGTAACCCGAGGTACCACTGTAATTTGGCTTTTCAAGAGTGGTGCCTAGAAATGTTAAGGTGATGTGCAGCGATTTGATTGTGATACTGTTGTACGATGAGATCCAAAGATCTGAATTTTAGCGTGCCTAAGGATTTATAACTGCTTTTATTTGAACAGCAAATTTATATACCGAGGATCACAGGGCAGTTTACAATTTAAAAAACACAAAATCACATAACGTAATAAACAAAACAATAACCCCCCAGTTTAAAAGGCCATAGATTGTTTAATCAGCCTGAGAGAAGAAGAATGTTTCTGCCTGGTGCCTAAAGATATGTAATGAAAGCACCAGATCAGCCGCCCTAAGGAGAGCATTCCACAAACAGGGAGCCACCACAGAAGAGACCATTCTTGTGTTGCCACCCAACTTCTTGTGGGGCAGGCACACGAAGAAGGGCCTCAGAAGATGAGGCTCCTGATTTGGTTCATATGGTGAGATGTGGTCCTTGATGTATTGCAGTCCTGAGCACACTGCTAACTTCAGCACACTGCTAGCTCTTCCCTGCCAGAAGACCAGAAGATAAAGAGCCACACAGACATCCAGAATGAGGGAAGTGCTACGGAGTTGGAAATTCTAATTTTGTTAATTTCCATCCGCAGGAAATAGGTTCTAGCTCAGATAGCGATCTCAGTCTATCATCGATGGTTTTCTTAAATCAAAGCAGTGGATCAGATGATTCTGCTGGAGATGGAGAAGGAGGCTTGGAGCAATCTCTAGTTTCTCTTGAGATGTGTGAGCTGCTTCCAGAAGATCCAAGGTCCAACATCTATCGTCTTTACTTTGGCAGCTCCTATGAATCAGAGCTCGGCAATGGAACTGCTTCAGAAATGGTAGCTGGCTGCTTTTGCTTAATTGATGCTGTAAACATTCTAGCATCTAAATGTAATTGGGGAGAAACAGTGCTAATTCAATCTATGCCAGTACTGGGTGACAGATATAAATTCTGAGTAACATAAACTTAAAATATGAACTCATTCTTCCTTGACCAAAAGCAGCAACAAGTCCTTGTCTTTTTGGGAAAACAATGAGGACCTGTCCCACCCCCATGAGAATTGATCCAGGGAGAATCCCCTATGAATGCACAGTATTTAGAAATGAAACATACTCATACTTAAACTTTCATATTACTAATAAGTTGATCAACATAATACTTCCTAAAGCTTATATTGTTTGATAAATAATTTTGGTAATGAAACTGTTGTTGTGAAAAACATTACTGAAATATTAGTAACCGTAACCACAAAATTGCTGACTATAATAATAATGGTATTATGTTACATCACCCACCCACTTGTCTCTACAGAGTTCTCAGTGTTTCTCGGGACCAAACTCCATAAATCATGATTTAGCTAGCATCTCTCTGAAGGATTTAGTATCCTACCAGCCCCCAATTCTAAGAACAGCCTTACAGGAAGGTTATCAAGAACTTAATCAAGAACAGATAGAGCAACTCAGGGCTGAAATCAATGCGATCAAGGCCAACTACAGAAGCAAAAACGGGGTATGGAAGACATTTTTTTGTTAATTCTTTTGATCTTTAGAAATGTTCTGTTGTAGAAGTAGTAATAGTAACTACTGCAAAGTTTTGCCATTTCAAAAGAAGCATAGCCTTAGAGAATGTCCTGAAACATTCAGACAAACTCACTGGCTCAGTTAAGACATACATCAAACTGTAGATTACAGACCTTAACTATGGTTAGTCAGGACATCCAGATTGGTTTCTGCAAACTGTGGTTTGGTGTTATTTTCTGATTGACAAACCGTGATTACACTTGTTGCGCTTCCTCTTCAGGTCACCATGCCATGGAGCGGAGATCTCTGCAGACAGAATCATTGCATAATTGGCCTGTTGTCAGTTGTGCTGGAGGTTCCTTGACTTCACTATCTCCCCCCCCCACACACACACACACACTGCGTAGGGTTGCCAAACAATAGTAACTAAGCAACACATGCCAATTTACCTGCAGAAAGGATAGCCTATTGGGGAAGGCAGGGAAGAAAAAGCACAGCTTAAATCATGGTTTGCCTGTATACGTAAGTGTATACACTGTAGTCTGGTCTGTAGTCTATGGTTACTGCAAATCAAAGTTAGCCCCAACTTATGAACTGGGCCATTGTCAATATCAGGGAGTGAAATACAGTATTTTATAGTACTTTCCCTTAATGTGATTTTTTTTCAAGGAGGAAGTCACTCCTCCATCATCAGTACCCAGCAAGAACACTTTAAGCATTACTCAGCTTCACCTGATAACTGCACTTGGAAACACAAAGCCATCTATTAGTCAAGACGACTGGAATAATTTTACTGAACTGTAAGTACCTTGTGTCAAGGAAATCACACAAATTATTTATTAATATTAAAAATATGCTCACACGTGTTCTGGAACAGTTGCTGTTATTAGTCTATTGCCACACAGATACCATTTTCTGTCTTAAGGTGTCTACACATCCTGAAGACTTTACTGAAGTGTAGTGTGGCGAGAGGTTTCAGTGAAATTGTATGAGAAAGAAGCTGGTACATGGAGCCCTAGAGGCTGCGCTACCAAAGCCTGAAACATAAGTTTTATTATCTTAGAGATTACTGATAGGCACTCGTCTAAAATGGCTGGAGATTTTCTATCAAATGCATATGAAAGTGCTTTTAAATTCCTTTTCAATGGTGGGCCCTAAAGGTTGTATCCAGTTGGTGTTCTGTCCACTGACAGAAGACTTTCATCAGCAGAAAGGGGAGGCTGCCCACCCCCCAAATCTGCTTGGGGATGGTGGTGCTAGAGGAACCTCTGAAACAGATTTGTAGGGTGGGGCTGCAAAAGGGAGGGGAAATTGCTTGAAATATCTTCCGTCAGTGTGGGCACCATTTGCTATCACTGTAAAATGTTTGAAATACCTTTTTAAGCAGGGATGATTATTGAAGTCATGGTCATGTTGACCTGCCAGCAGCTGTGCTGCTGTATGATTCCAGCCTCACAGCTCCTGCTTCCAGTTCCTCATTGTGACGTCCAGGAATATGCTTATCATCTCCCTCAGTTGCCCTTAGTAGTGGCAGCAATTTGTACTGTTGACTGACTGATTGATTGATTGATTGATTGATTGCATTTATATCACACCTTTTTTCCTCTGAGGAGCTTGGGGTGGCATACACAGTTCTCCTCATTTATCCCCCACAACAACCCTGAGAGGTAGATTAGACTGAGAGACAGTGACTGGCCCAAGGTCACCCAGTAAGCTCCATGGCCAAGTGGGAACTTGAACCCTGATCACCCAGGTCCTAGTTCAGCACTCTAACCACTATGCCACATTGGCTTGCTAGCTGCTTCTGCTTCCAAGAGAAGTCTGCCGAAGCTTGCCAGTGATTGTTAACAAATGTTGTAAAAAAGTTTTCTGTGGACGTTAAACATTTTCTTAGTTATAGGTTATTTGCTCTGATTGTTATTACTTTAAAATTATTATTTAACTATAATGAATTTGTTTATTGTTTGTTAGTTTTCCTGAATGGGGAAGAGGGAGTTGAAGAATGCTAATAAAAATGTTAACTGCTACTTTTAAATGTTTTTGCCAAAGAAGCCTCTTAGGTATTTCTGGTTTTACTTAGAATTTGGCCTTCTTTAGATTTCACCTGAATAATTTTCTTACAAAGCATAGTTCTGGTGGTAATGCACTACTATTGTTGTTTTTTAGCTACGATAATTTTCGCAATCCAAAGAGGAAAGGGCCCAGTGGAGCAACTTTCAAACCAGGACAAAAAGTGACATTAGCTTAATTGCTGTTTAATGCGTTTATGGTGATTATCCCAAAATAATTTTTTAAGTAAAGTATTTCCATTATTAAATCATATTAAAATATATACCTGCAGCTATGTTAATGCTGAAATGACAAATAATAGATTTCTTTAAAATTAATTGTTTCAAAACTGTTTTACATAATTTTAGTTTTCAGATTATGTCCTCTTACAAACCTATAATAAAATATTTGAGATATTATTGGCTGCCTTGTGTTTTAAGTTGTTTTAATTTCCTATTTAGATTAAGCTATCATCTTGGACTGCCTAGAGCTCTAGCTGGCTTCAATTCTGATAGCCACCACACCGAAACTAAATATAAAACTGTATGAAGTCATATTCACCCTTCCTGTTCATAGTAGGCTTATAGAATCCATGTTGTCAGTATCAGAATTAAGTTACCATTATCTTCAAGAGGAAAAGGAGATGTGCATCATGTATTCTTGGGGTAGCACCCAGTGTGACCACCTTTCTACTCCTGGCTTTCTTTATGCAAGTAATATGCTAGAGAGAAGGTGCTTCGCAAGATGATGCTACCAATTCAATTGGATTTATCTATGCTTAGGCGTGGTGTTGTACAGAGAATCCCATTATTTGTTTCCAGAATTTACAAAGAATTTTAAGCCGCCATCTAACACTGTTCTGCAACCTAGGTCAGCTTCAAGTGCTTAGAATATTTATCAGATTGTTCCCATTTTTCCCATGACACTGATATGTCTTCAGTGTGGCCTGTGGGAGGTGCCCTGGTTTTCATTTCATACAATCTCTAAAGGATTAACAGTTTATATTTAGTCTTTTAGACATTCAAAAAGAATGGTTGTGGTGTCAGTGTCCCTTGGGACAGCAATAGTTGTTGTAGCTCCACATGATGTAAGCAGAGACAGTATCTTTTTATAAATAGGGAGCCAATTACTTCTGTTTATTACTGATCTTTGCCAACCTGGTGTCTTCCATATGTTTTTTACTACAGCTCCCATCAGCCCCAGACTGGCAAACACCACTAATCATAGAGTTGTAGAGTTGGAAGTTCCCCCAGGAATCATCTAGTCCAACCCCCTGTAATGCAGCAATCACAGCTAAAGAATCCCTAAGAGATGGCCTCCAACCTCCCAAGGGAATTGCATCATCAAACAGCTCTTACTGTCAAAAAGTTCTTCTTGATGTTTAGTAGGAATGTCCTTATGACTTGAATCCATTGGTTCAGGTTCTAGCCTCCAGAGCAGAAAAAAACCCAAGTTTGCTCCACCTTCCATGCAACAGCCCTTTAGATATTTGAAGATGGTTACCATATCAGTCTCCTCTTTCCCAGGCTAAATATACCCAACTCCCTCAAGCATTCCTCATAAGACTTGGTTTCCAGAGCCTTTATCATCTTGGCTGCCCTCCTCTGCAAATATCAGAATTCATCTGTATCTGAAGCAGCAGCAGATCAGCACTCCGTTACTAACCCATCTCAGTATCATAGTATCACACTCTGCCCATGTGGTATGTTAAAACCTTAATTCAGTTTCTCAGCATTTATTTCAGACTGTACCTGCTGACAACCCAAGATATATTTCCTTTCACTGACCTAACAGCATATGAGTTGTCAGGTGGTCTTCTCAGTTGACCTATCCAACAGACCTTGAGTAACCTTCCCATAATTATTTCAGAAAATAATGGTTTTAGAAGCATATAAACTCTCAAATTTGCACTTTGTAGATTAGTATCTGGAATTACCATTTTAGCAATAAGCAGATGTCAAACTATTCTGAATAGTAGTAGCATCAGGACCTTCCTTTGATGTAACCCAAACTGTTATATGAACCAGTATATATACTATAACCATGTCTGGCAGTATCAGCAAGTGTTTAACTTACATAATGCCATATAACTGCTTCTAAAATGTAGTAACCTACTATGGTCTTAAATCTATCAAATTACAGTAACTTAGTTTCCACTTCTTGTAGCTGAAAACAGCATTCTGCAATGACATCTGACTACAGGATCTTAACCTGGCTTGTTAAGATCAATTATAGCTGCCTTTGTTTGGCAACGGGTATGATGGGCCCTCCTGTGGTGGTTGGGGCATTGGGCAGGATCCATCCCAGGGGTAATCAGGGATGAGCTCTGTGTTCCCCACTTGGACATACACTTAAGGGATGTTGGGATGTTGCTTCAAGACCCAGTCACCTTCGGGACTTGCATGCCTGAAACACACCCAGGTGGCAGGACAGATCTTGCCTTTCTCTCCCCCCCCCCCCCGCCCAATCCCTTAACATTTTTCCAGAGGGTAAGCTAGGTGAATGGATCAGCCAGCAGTGTAAGTGTTTTCAAAAGAACTAGACACATACTGCAGTCTCAGCTACATCAGATTATAGTACCTTAGTCACAATTGGCTGTAGCATGAGATGTTCCCATGAGAAGAAATATACCCCAGTCACATTTTATTCAGTCATTAATAAATCTGAAGAACAGTTGATGATGCAGTTTTGTCAGATTTATTTTACACAACTGTCAGTCATTGACCAATTCCTAAATACTAGCTGAAGTATATTTTATTGGAAATATGTTACTTAGGAGGATTCAGGTTTGAAGGCACTGGGTGCTATTCAAACAATTTTTACTTAAAGTAGACCTAACACATTCATTACTTTAAATAGATCTACTCTGAATAAACCTTAATTTATTGACACCCACTATATCTTGTGTTTAGTTATTCTCTGATTATGGGGACAACAATACAATAAAAAACCCCAGCAATAATATGTGTTGTTTATTAAATTTCTATACCACCATCGTACGATCACAGTGCTGTTTACAATATAAAAATACAGCGCATTATTTTTTTTACAGCTTTTATCAAAATGCCAAGAAGAGGGTACTTTATGTTAATATTTCACTTTTAAAGAAAAATGTGACTGCATGCTTCTTCATTCAGAGAAACTTCCATGCAGTATTAGCATACAAGTAGCTAAAGTAATGGAAGCTGTTTTCTGCTTTGATTATATTGTTATCAGATCAAGTTCCTAATCCAAAGTGAAGACAGAAGCAAACAAATCGAGAAAGCTGCTCTCAATAAATGTTTGAAGAAAAAGTGATTTGATACTTCTTTGTGTTAACAAGTGTTTATGTACCGATAAGAATATGGTATCTTTTCTTTTCACAGGGTAGATTCTTTCCGAACGCCTATGACTTTTCCTAGCATAATCTTTCCTAGGCTATTATGCAAGCATTATATGGTATTAGCTTGCTATTAGATAACAGTCTGTCTGTAGGATAGATGTCTGTTTACACATAGCAATTATCCTTGACTGACCTCCCCAAAAAAAAAAAAAACAGTGGCTTGCTCCAGCTGGAATAGATCTTAAGATTCCTTGAAAGAGAGTGAACACGGGTAGACGCAGTCACATTGAGGGATAGATGACCTGCCCATAAATTCTGTCTGGGGAAATTTCAGTCACAGGTTTTTTCCCATTTACAGTAAAGTAAATATGTAACCAGAATATTGTGTTGGTTTTTGTTTCAGGGTATTAATTTTAACTTTGTGTATTTCTTCCATAAATAAACGTTCTCTATTTGATGTGGAGTAGTATAAAAAACACAAGAACAATAAGAATTTCAGAGTTTTAGATGCATGCATACAGTTATCTGAAATGTAACCATTTTATTTTCTGTTAATCCAATTTTCTCAAGGTAGCAACAACAATCTTACACCGTTGCCCAGGAGTAAGTCTCAGTGGATCTTACTTCTGAGTAAGCAGAGCAATCTTATGCACGTCAATTATGAATACAATTTGAGAAGAGGAATTAGCAGTTGCAGCATTGTTGTCTGGACCTAGCTTCTATTGTATAATATTGTCTATTTCAATTTGCTTTAACATAAAAGAAAAATGGCTCTGACCTGACAACAGTTGTCTGTAAAACTCTCTTTCTTAGAAAGTGAAACAAGGCTCTTAGGCATGCATTCCTATGCCTGTTTAGTGTCCTATTTTTTAATAGGCACATCTCACAAATGGGGAACCACCATGGAAAAGGACAATATCAAGTGGGTACTCCCCACTAGTACACCACCAAGGCCTTACCTGCCACTTGTAGGATCTGGGATGGATTTATTTATTGAGTTTCTATCCTGCCCCTCCACCTGGTTGATAATGGATAAGGCACACTTTTAGGCAGTTTGGTCCCAAGCCGCCACCTAACTTCTTCCTCCAGTCCACCTAGTTGTAAAACACGTGTTCTAAGTTCCTAGCATCTTGAGTGAGAATAAAATTCATCATTACCAATCCAAGGCAGTAGGTCAGGAACTTGAGATGTTCATTCTGCTGAGTGAAGCATGTAAAGAAAAGCCTGAGTGCTATACCTAGCCAGGAGGGTCACTGGGTGACCTTGGGCCAGTCACTGCCTCTCAGACTAACCTACCTCGCAGGGTTATTGTGGAGATTAAATGAGAAGGAGGAGAACCTGGAGAAAAAGGTGGTATTTAAATGCAATTAATATTAACAACAAAACAGGCAGCAGGAAAGAAACAAACACACCGAAGTAACCAACCAAAAAATATTATTCTCTACACACCTTTTATATTGATCAAGAACTGAAGGTAGGTGGGATGGACTTTTGCATTAACTTAATTGCTGGCAGACATACATAAAACATGGACTATGAATTACACTATTCCCATTCTCAGTTGTTGCCATCTGTTTTGTCTTGAGAGACAATGGAGGGTGTCTCTTGAGGGTGAAGTCAAACTGCTGCATTATCAGCACTGAAGTGACCTCCTTTGTGTGCAAGCCTACGCAGTGTGTATGGAGGCCCTAGGCTGCCCAGATGACAAGACCCCTCTCAGCCTCGCTGGTGTGGCCCAAAGGAAAGTAGAGCAATATGTTGGGCACCTGCTTGGCTGCAGGAGTTGCCAGAAGGCAGTGTACAAGGTGCCATCCAACCGCCTTAGGGACTCCACTCCGGATTTCTGTAGGATTTACTCCTTAGCCCTTTCTTCTCCCAAAAATATCCCACAAAGCGGAGGTTTAGGTTCAGAGTTCTCCTTCTCCTCGGTGGGCTACCTTCCTAGGTTGGCTATCCCCATCTGCCCCTCACTTCCCTCTACGGCACATGCAGAAACCACCTTCTTGACCGTTAGACCCACTATTAGTCCTATCCGCTCAATCGGCCAGAGCCTGTCTTTGCATGCAGGGGAAGTCCCTAACTCACTCGCCTGGTTTAGCCAGCCAGTTTACTGTTCTTGGGATGTGGCTGCTGTCACACACTGACATCTTCTAGGAGCCACAGGTGGGAGCTGAGTGCAGGATGGGGGAACAAAGGTGGACAAACTACCACCGAAGGAGCACATGTGTCCCCCACCAGAGGTACTACCCTCCCCTAAAACTTCGGCAGATTATGGTAACTGGGTTGCTTTACTTCAGGGGGCTGGGCTAAAGACACATCCCCACTCCTTGCCTAGGCGATATTGCCTGAAGAGGGCTTTTAACAGCTCCAAAAGAGAAATAAGACAAATCCCTATCTAGTCAGTCCTCTGAGAGAGAAACTGCAGCTCTGGTCACCGTCACCAGCTCAGCTTCTGGATCCCATGGAGAGATGGGGGTGAGTCACAGGAGGGGCAAATTATAGTTCTAGAGAAAGAAAGAAAAAAACACAGTATAATGACAGGAGTTCAGAAATGAAAAACGTTGGCAGCATTAAGATAAATCAAATAAGTGCAAATAAGTTTGGATGGATGTAATAACGGAATAGTAAATGGTTTAGTTTATGTAACATATGCAGGGGTTTACGATATGCAAAATGAGCCATGGAAAGAGAAGAAGGGAAGTAATTGATATTTTAAGGATGTTTAAATGAGTATTCTAAACAGTAAAACAGAAAATGTAATAAAAATGATAAAAAGGAGTTCAGAAATGAGGAGGGGCAAGTAGGGATGAGCTCCTTGTTTTTTGAGGGGGGCACTTGTGTGTGTGTGTGTCGCCCGCCTGTGGCTCCGCCTGTGACTGACCACTATATTACCGGCTCCCCAAAAGCGCACCCTTCAATTCCGTTCGCACCGGCTGAGGAGACACGTCTTCGCCGCCCTTTCCCGGCATTCGCTGCTCCTCCCTTCGCGTCTCGCTGCCTCTTTTCCTTCCGCTCCCTCAGCGCAAGGCGGCGGCGGGCGGACTCTGCCGCTTTCCCCGCGCGCGGCGGCGCCATGGCGGACGGCGAGGCGGCGGCGGCGGCGGCGGCGCCTGATCCAGGGCTTTCAGCTCGGGGAGCCGGCATTGCCGGCAGCGCAAAAGGGCTGCTGCAGAAGGGCTTCGACATGTACGTGCGAGATCCGTTCGACGCCGCTCACAACCCTCAGGTGTGTGTGTGAGAGAGAGAGTCGGTGGTTTTTGCAAGGGGGGTGTAAAAGAAGCCGCTGGTGGGGCAGGACGTGGGGGGGGGGCGGGGGGCTTCTCTGCTAGTGTATTGAGGAAATAGGGCGCAGGGTATAAAACATGGAGCCATGGGTGGGTCAAGTCAAGTCCTTGTGACAAGAGTGTGAGAACAGAGGCTTTTGTGGGTGGGTGGGTGGGTTTTTTAAATGGGACGGTATTGTGGTAGGGCAACCTTTTTCAGCCCAACGCCTGGAAAAGGCGCGCAATTTCATCGGAAATTGCCTTATATAGAGACAGGCAGTTGAGTCTATCAAGCTCAGTATTGTCAGCACTGACAGGCAGCAGCTCCCTGGAGTTTGGGGCAGGAGTCTCTCCCAGCCCTACCCGCAGATGCTGGGGATTGAATCTGGAACCTTCCGCATGCAAAGCCCATGATCTACCACTTATTATGGGAAAGCCGGGGGGGGGGCACTTGCTGGTGGTGAATGGGGTCGGAGGCATAAGTGGGGGGGGGCAACTGATGTAAATTTGAGCTTTAATCAGTAAATAACAATAGTAATTAAAAAAAACTAATTTCCATGCACACTCATACACATTTCCTACACTCATGCAAGCAGCAGGCGTTATCAGAGTTGAAGGAGATATTCTAGCCAGGCAAAAGCAGTCAAGGAGGGTGTGAAGCGTAACTGCTGAGGGGTGTATGACTGGGGAAAGTCTGGAGGACCAGAAAGAGAAGCTTGGCTGGACTCGTAGAAGCCAAATCTTAGAGGCCAAAGTCTCTCCCCCCCCCAATAAAATATTGGGGGGGGCAAAGTTGATGGGCATTACCATTCAAATGGTGTGTACACGCCTTGTGATCAATTACGCAGGCCAGGGCTTACCTCCCCTCCCCCCAAAAAATGTTTTTATTCAAGTTGGCATTTGGCACTCCTTTGGTTGGGGATAGTGGGAAGATGAGCTGAAGTAGAATGGAGATGGAGATGAGAAGTTTTGAGTCTGAGTGAAGAAATGGCTTGGTTTATTTTATTAAACTTCTATCACTTCACACAGCCAAAAGGGAATCCCAAATCTAAGACTAAAAAATACACTAAAAGTGTTAATCCAAAAAGTCAGCTAACAATGTGAAATCCCCACCCCCATCCAACACAAGAATGAATACCGAAAGCTGAGCACCAATGGATGTGCTGTGGAGGAGGGGGGCATGGAAGAAAAGTTAAGGGGAGCAGAAACACTTGGAAATGATGTGTGTGAGGGTTGCAGAAAAAAACAAGGGGATGTGGAGAAAGAGGTGTGGTAATAAAACACTGTATGGAAGAAGGTGTGGAAATGAGGCAATCTTAAAGACTGTGCAGATACGAAGCTTCCAAACCTTGGGTCAGAGTTTTGCAACAGCCTTCAGGAGCGAAGGATGCAGTTCATTGCATACAATGTAGCAGAGGGGATATTTTGGAGGAGAGGGGAGAAATTGTGGCAGCAGAAATTGTACTGCTGCTTTTCAGTCTAGGCTCCAATGGCAAAGTGCCAGCTGGGTCCAAGCAGAAGTAGTTCAATCTGGTTTGCTCCAGCATGGGACAGTTACATTATCCTCTGACCTGAAATCTCCTTACTAGAAATATGTTGTTGGTGCTGCTGCTTCCAACTTCTGCAGTCTGATCAGTAGAACAGCTGAGTGTGAACATAGTTGCTGTCTGTACTCTTATGTAAGAGACTCTTGTCCTTTCCAGAGACCTATTTTTTAAAAACAAAGTGGTTGTACAGATATTAAAATGTGAAGTTAAATATATTTGAAAATAATACCTGTTAATTTAATCTATTTCTAGAAGACTTCAGTCCTTAAGAAGCAGAAATGGTGGTTAAGTTGGGAACATACCTGTAGGAAGGTGCCTTAAAGAGAGTATGAAGTTGTTGCTCCTTTGTTTATATAGTGGAAAAATATATAATGGTGGCAGTTTATTTTCATACTGTCCTTTAGACACTAGGTTTAGTTTTCTGACCAAGAGGGTTCATGGAAAAAGTAAACAGAAAATGTTTTTAAAAAACCAACCCATTAGTGGTGGTAGCTATCTAAATTGTCATTCCTATTTTCAGGGCATTTTGAATTTTGGAACAAGTGAGAACAAGCTTTGCTTTGATTTAATACAGGAAAGGGTAAGTTTGGCTTCCCACATGAATTGCGCAACTTAGTTTTGAAATTGTGATCAGTAGGTAGTACTAATTAGTGGTCATGATAATTTCTTATGAATAATCAAGCACTGTGTTTAATAACATTACCTATGTAATGTGCAAGCAAAACAAGCCTAAGCCATGGACTGGGACAGCAGGTCAGAGTGGCAAATCGCCCCTGCATCTTGTTGGTTTACTCCAACCAGGACAGAAAGTGAGGAGGAGCTGTGATATCTTTTGCTGTTCTGGCTCCAGGCTAGTGCAGCTGAGGAGCCAAAATCAGACCCAGCTCTGAGAAATGGATTGGTTTTCATCCAAGATCAGCTAAGACAGCTTAACTCGAAAAAAATTGATAAACTGTGGGAAATATAAATAGCAATGTGTGAATCTAACTACCTGTCATATAATTAAAAACTTTAATTGTCTCTTTTTTAAAAAATGACAGCTCGTAAAACCTGACATGGCTTATCTGGAACCTCACTTACTTCAGTATTCAGATATACAAGGCATTAAAAGGTAACAAAAATTGGTTAGCATTTCAATCTATTTTTTATAACAGCTACCTGTTTTTCTAGTTCCAGTTAAACATTTCAAAAACTAAAATTGACATTGTGCAGGAGATTTAAGCTATTCTGTAGAGGTCCTCTTAAAATAAATGGTTGTGGCTTAGACATATTTTCTTTTGATGCAGTAGTGTTAGTGCTTGGAGACTGCTTATAACACTGCATAAATGTCTAGTTGTTGTTTGAACACATTTAATAGAAATAGGTTCAATTGTATGTAAATGAATGTTCTTTCGTGCAATTGTTTGGTATAGCTGCCTTCAATTTACAGTGTTTAATAGTTCTAGAATTCAGATTTCTGGACTCAGTCCAAAATCAAGTTTCAGAAAAGGGGCAATTTAAAATATGTGATCCTCTACATATATTTACTTTTAAAATAAGTTCTATGCTTCTAAAGAAATCAGTAGCAAAATTTCAATTGAATTGAATAAAAAGACTAATTCAAAGTTAAAGTTGTGCCAGAACTAACTTTATATATGAATATGTTGATGCAAATTTTCTGACTGTGTTAATTTTAAACTTTAGTTTTAGAGAAGAAATTGCAAAGTTTCTTACGGAATATGCAAAAGCTCCAACAGCACTAGATCCAGATCATGTAAGGAACCACATTGCTTTCCTTTCCTTTAATTTTGTGAAAGTTTGCTGAATCTTTCATAAGATCTGAAATGAGGGTATAGCAAAAGTTATCACTTTTAAATCATTTTGGAAACTCTGCAACACTGAGAATTATCAGGTTGTTATTGCAGATAAAATTTTATGTTAAAGCCAGTACCTAAAAGAAATTTATCAGAGGGAGCTCTCATAACTTTGCTTAAGATACCCATTTGTCTTCAAATAATGACACTCAACTTTGATACATTCAGAAACAAAGGCACATAGTTTGAAAATATTGGGCGATATCTAATATCCAGCTAATGAACCAAATTCTTACTTCCCCTGCCATTTACATTTGACTACTCACCTGTCAATCACCTGACATCACACTGCCCTCAGATGATGATCGTCAGGACTTCAAAACACCACACATAGAGTCTCATTGCACAGCTTCAGCAAGAAGCTAGAATAAGGACATTGTTCCTGTAGCTTTCGCAAGCAACTAAAGGCTTTTATCCAAGAGCCTGCTAAGTCCCACCCTAGGCACTGCTGTTGATCTCAGCTATTGAACTCTCAGTAGTGTTGGGTCTACTCATGAGGAAGCAGCTCCTCACAAGTAACTTATCATTCTCAAGGAGGTATTGGCTTTCAGGCGGACTGCTTGGTCCTACCCTTTCATCTTTCACTGCTCTCTGAGGGTTGGAGGTGACTCAGCTACTGCCTCTCAACTCAGGCCCTCTATATATAGGAGATAGCAGCTGCTGGGATGTTGCATTGCCTGATAGTCCTGCTTCAGCCTTGGCGCTGTCTGACCCCACCTGAACGTCTGTGTGATTCCCTCCAGGGAGTACCAGGCCCTCCTCTGGTGAGGATTCCTCTAGCACGGTCATGAAATGTCAGCTGATTGACAGTGAAAGCCAGCCTCCCTTGCCAATGCCAGGAGTGCATTTTAAGGGTCCCATTTTTGGATTGGCTGCTGCACAGCTGATATCACATGGTATCGGATGTGGAGCAGGTGAACATGATTTGGGGGAAATGGCCTTATGGGCCAAATTAGGATCCATGTCAGGCCTAATAAAGCCAATGGGCTAGAGGTTCCTCACCCTTGAACTAAGTCATACTCAGAATGGATCAACTGAAATCAGGTGACTTCTTTACACTTTTAAAAAGTGGCAGATTGCTAAATTTAGTGCTTGGATTATCTCTGTAAAATGAGGAGGTCAAACATAGCACACTTCTCAAACATTGACTCTGCAAACAACATATCCTACTCACTTCAATGCCATCTTAGATGGTCATTGCCAGGGACATACACCTAGGCAACCACTTGGAAATCAGAGCTACTAAATGGTACATAATTAATTGATATTTTGCTGGTCTGTGTTTATATCATATATTATAGACCACTGAACCCATAATTTCAATTACATTATATCTCAACAAAACTTTTCAATGACTGATTGGATACCAGCCAATAGAATTCACATATACAAGAGGAATTAAGGGTTGATTGTTTTGAAGTTACAGTGGCTCATTTTTTAATTTGGTTTGAGTTGCTACACTTGGGTATGATATCCTTGCCTTAGACTTGTCTTTAATTTCTTAAAATAAATTTAGCTGCTTTTGTAGTTTTGTTAATTGTATCTTTCTATTTTGTCTTCTGTTTCTAGTTTATAGTTCTGAATGGCTGCTGTGCCGTCTTTGCTACGCTGTCAACTGTGTTATGTGATCCTGGAGGTAAGGGGGCATGAATATGTATCACATATTGTATGTATATGTATCACATATTGTAGCAGTCATTTAGTGGTAATTAGTGCCTGAACATCTTAAAGAAGGTATAAAATCTTGTTCACTCTGCTGATAATGGCTAAATCAGGCTTCCTCAACCTCGGCCCTCCAGACGTTTTTGGCCTACAACTCCCATGATCCCTAGCTAGCAGGACCAGTGGTCAGGGATGATGGGAATTGTAGTCTCAAAACATCTGGAGGGCCGAAGTTGAGGAAGCCGGGGCTAAATCATGTAGAAAATAAACTGCTTCATTGCTTTATTTTATGTGCCCTTTGAGTAAGCTAAAAATAGTTTAAATGATGTGAAGTACATGCTAGCAGAATGAAACTATTGGTCTGCACCCCCCTTTCTAAGTAGCTATATATATTATAGTAGAGTCTTAACAATTGGTTAATGGCAATAAAATTATATGTGGAATGGGATAAAACCTCTACTGTGAAATTTGTGTCACTTTTTTTAGTATGCTAGTAAGAGTATTCATTTAGGAATAGCACAGACCTGCAAGTGGTTCACACAATGTTTTTTCCCCCAATTCTGGCAGCACAGTGATTATGTACAAAGATTTTGAAAGTAGTAGTCTAAAGATGTGTGTAAGATGAAGGCAAAATAAATTATCATTGTTTTTTAACAAACTAGTAAAATTCTTTGTTTAAAAAGAAAGTAAACCTTCATTATTTATTCTTTTTATAGATGGGTATCTGATTCCTACCCCATATTATGGTGGAATAAACTCCAAAGTGTGGCTGTATGGTGGAATGCAACCTATCCATGTGCCCTTGTTCAGTGAGGTAAATATTTACTAAATATTTCCTTTCTTATAAATACTGATATGTTGTCTATGTATGAACACAATTATATAAAGCCCAAGCAACAAAACTACTACTGACTATGGAAACCAAACTGTAGACATGTCCCTTCTTGTATGACTGTGCTATATGTTTTGGCAAATAAGTTTACTGTGGATGTTGTCTCATACACAAGTGTGTATATAGCAGAGGTGGCAACAAACTGTCCTACAGAAGTCTTGACTGTTTTCCTCAGTCTTTTTAGAGTGAGTGTGTGTGTGTCTATCTCTTCATTAATCATCATTTTCAGAGAGTAACAGTTTCCTGGGATTACATAATGTCACCACTGCCCTTGATCCAAGCATCCTCAAAGAATCATAGAGTTTATTGAACTCCCTTTTACCTCCTCCAGAACAAGTTGAAAAGGGAGTATCTGCATTGAGTTCATCCCAACAAACAAGGAAAAGAAAGCTCCATCAGTGTTTAAGCCACATCCACCATAACTTGCTTGTTCATTTTGCTGTTTCCCCCCTCAAATTAAATTAATAATAATAATAATAAATTTATTATTCATACCCCACCCATCTGGCTGGGTTTCACCAGCCACTCTGGGCGGCTTCCAACAGAATTTTTAATTATAATAGTCTATTAAACATTAAAAGCTTCCCTAAACAGGGCTGCTTTCAGATGTCTTCTAAAAGTCTGGTAGTTGTTTTTCTCTTTGACATCTGGTGGGAGGGTGTTCCACAGGGCAGGTGCCACTACTGAGAAGGCCCTCTGCCTGGTTCCCTGTAACTTCACTTCTCGCAGCGAGTGAACGGCCAGAAGGCCCTCGGTGCTGGACCTCAGTGTCCGGGCAGAACGATGGGGGTGGAGACGCTCCTTTAGGTATCCTGGACCGAGGCCGTTTAGGGCTTTAAAGGTCAGCACCAACACTTTGTGAAAATAAATAGGTATTCTGAGCAGATTGCATTGTTTTACTGAATTTCTGTCTTTGAACACCTTTTGAAATGTTTATGCAGGTGACTAATGAAGAAAGTCGACCATTTCAGTTAACTGTTGAAAAATTAGAAACTGCACATCAGAGAGCCATAGAACAGGTAGGAATATTTTTTACTAAACTCCAACTATTGTGCTTTCGGTTCAATACTTCCTTATCAACTTTTTAGTGAAATATATCCTATTAGAAATGTAAATTGATAAATCTGCTTTTCCCCCCCGTGTGCACAACTTGGCCAAAAGCAGGTTGTCATGTCATTTTAATGCATCATTTTCAAGAATGAAACTAGAATCCTAAATTATATATTTCCTGTTCTTATGTGAGCCCATTAAATATTTGCAAGTAATAAATGGAGCAATTCATATTAAACTTAATACTTACCTTTTACAAACTGCTTTAGTTACTTCCCTTGATTTCCAAAGTAGTTCATCTTTTCTGCTGTTGTTTCTTGGTTTTTTCTTAAGTAGCTTGAAGCTACTAGGTGGCAGAATCTTTTCACAGGAGAAAATGTACTGAAAATAGTGGATGGGATTCAACTGTCATGCTTGCAGTAGACCTATCAAAATCTACAAGACTTAAGTTAGTCATGACTAATGTAAGTACTACTAATTTCAGTAGGTCTGCTCTAAGCATGACAGTCTAGACCTAACCCTGTATGTTTTAGTTACGCTGAAATTACAGAATTTACATAATAATTTGGTCATAAGAAAGTTTATTTCCTTCCTGAATATATTTCCATTTAAACATGTTTTAGTACCATTAGTTTAAAAAGAATCCTAATTTTACAGTCTTTCTATACACTAGTGTTATATATACATTTCTTCAAGAAAACAATCATTTAATATATTACATCAAATCTGTAGTTTTGTAAATTTAGTCATTTGAATTATAGCAGATGAAATTTAAAATCATAACTAAATAACAAAATGCCATGCTGTGATGAAAATGAAATGTGATGCCATGAAAATGTGATACTGGGATATGTTTTAGGGTTATAAAGGAATATATATGCTCATATTCAGTCAAGAAACTTCAATACTTGGCACTTTATGAAAGGATGGCAATTTTGCAGACTCGCTACTCCTTTGTTTGACGTCATGATGGCGTCCCCGACTATCAGTTTTTCTTTTTTCAGGGCATCAGAGTCAGAGCTTTAATCCTGATCAACCCTCACAATCCATTAGGGGACATTTACCCAGCACAGTTACTGAAAGAATGTCTAGACTTTGCACACAGGTTTGAGTCCTAGCGCTATTTGTTTGGGTTTTTAATTTTCTATGATGCAGTATGTTAGTTTTGAAAGTTATTTTGGTAATTTCCTTAGTTCATTTGGCATATGGCCATAAGAAGGTTTGTTCAGAAAATTCATTTATGGTAATAGTCATCTATGGTTATTAGTAGCGTGGAAAAACATTAGAATTCTTAAATTGGCAAACTTAGTTTCTGAATGTATAACTATGGTGGAGATGGCTTTATGTGCCTCTAAAAAAAATTTCCTGTACGCGTAAAGCCTGACTATATTGATTCTTTAAAACATATGTCATAAATATGAGAACTGGTAATTACCAAAATAAGTAGTGGTAAGAGTGTTTAATAGGGATACATATGTTGATTTGAAAAGTAAGTTTGAACCAATTTATGAAATGAAGCGTCCTTGTAATCTGTAACTTGTCCATCCAGTCTATAGAATTCTATATGGAACATAAATTAATAAATTATTTTTATCTTTCTCAAAGAAGGATCCCTAATGTTTCCTTTAAATTTCAATACATTTTCTCATACTTCCCCGTAATGTCTATTTTTTATCCTTGGCCACATTCTTGTAATGCTTACTCTGAAATCCTATGTACGCTTACTTGGACATAAGTCTCACTATGTTCAGTGACACTTCCTCCTCCTTAGTTTATCTGCGAAAGGACGCCATCCTCCTTGCTTGTTCCATTTGCTCCCCACCAATCTACATGAAGTGGATTAATTTTTTAAAATGTGGCTTATTTCTAATGAAGGTAACAACTAGCTCAGTCAGTAGAACATTAGACTCTTCATCTTAGGGTCGTGGGCTTGAGCCCCATGTTGGGCAAAAGATTCCTGCATAGCAGTGAGTTGGGCCACATGACTCTTGTGGTCCTTTCCAACTCTATGATTCTAACTAAAGTGGTTATTACATATTTAGTAAGCCTCAAAACATGGCACAGTTCTTTTCACTTCAGCATGACACTGCATGAGACTTGGGGATGCAGTCTGCGTCTGAAGTTGAAAACTAAGAATCTGATGTTTTTAATTTTTTACAAAAAATAATAATAATAAACTTTAATTGGTTACTTATACTTTTGTGATATTTAAGCATCTTTCTGTCAGTCATATACTTCTGAATGCCTGCTAATATTGGGAATAAGAATTCAGTTTGATGTGTTTTCTGGCTTGTGCATGCATATATAATAAGCTGTGTGGTGTGTGTTTTCTGGCCTTTATGTCTTAATTGTGCAATATATTACATATGGATCCTTGGTTCTTAACTTCTCGCTTTTATATATCACTGTTCAGTTTTTAAAAACATTTTGCTTTATATTAAGTAGCAGCTCTTTGGGTGCCTCTTCCACAAGAGGGTTGGAGGGTGGCAACACTGAAACACTTTTCTGCAGTGGCTCCCTGTTTGTGGAATGCTCTCCCCAAGGAGGCTCGCCTGGGACCTTCATTACATATCTTTGGATGCCAGGCAAAAACGCTTCTCTTCAACCAGGCCTGTGGCTGATTAACATTCTATGGCCTTTTAAATGTGTCTGTGGGATGAGAGTTATTGGTTTCTTTTGTTTTTGTTTTATTATGTATTTTATGTTTTCATTTTGTATTTTTATTTTGTGAACTTCCCTTTCATCTTCTGATGAAGGGCAGTAAACATATTTAATTAATAATAACAATAACTGGATTGAATATAGAATATGCAGCTTTCTAAGGAATTTGCTAAGCAGCAATTGCAGTAATGAATGCATATATATATATATATATATATATATATATATGCTTTCGTAGATTTTCACGGGTACAGGAATGCAGGTTTTGGTGTCCTCGGGTGTCTTCCCGTGTAAAAGTTGGGGTGTCTAGGCGACGTTTCGACGAGGTCTCACTCGTCATCTTCAGGCTGGTGCTTTCGGCTTCTTGTTACTGGAACAGAGCAGGATCTCAGTGTTTGAGTTCCTATAAATACTGTTGAGGGGGTGTGGTGTATAGCCTCCAATGTTCTGGGCAGAGAGGAAGTTCCCAGGCTAGTGTGCCTTTTCTTCTTTTGTTCCTTAATTACTTGAGGGATATCTTGAGTGATTTCTTGAGTGATATCCTGAGTACCACTTAGGTGGGTCATTAGGTGTGGATTAGTTGCTAAAGCCTTCGTGTCTTGACCTCTTGAACTTTGTGAAGAGTTTTTCTGAGAAGATGGCTGTACTGCACTTAGTTGTGCTCTGGCTTGGCTTCGTGTATAGGGGCGAGCTGTGGTTTTGTGTCCTGTGCCAGCCAGATCTGTGTAGGGATTGCAGGGGGGTGCAGCATCCGGAGGTGCCACCATGGTTTGGCTACTGGATGGTGTCTGTAATTTATCTGTGGAGAGGGTCTGGGTTTGGGTCTGGTGTGGTTGATTGGTGATGGCGTTCTGTGTGCCTCTGGATCTGGTGTCGGTTTTTGTGGGGAGGGCTAATTTCCAGATGTCTGGCAGGCGGGATGTGTCGTCACGCTTGTTCATGTTGTGAGGGTGTTTCTCTATCTCGATGGCTTCCATGATTATTCTCTTGTGGTGATGTTCCATGTTAGAGAGCATTCTTGTGTTCGCCAATGGATACCAGCAAAACAGGGTTACGAAGCTAATGCAAAAAGAAACACCCCCCAAAAACCAAGACACAGAAGAAAACAATGGCATGGCCCTCCTTCCTTATATCAAGGGCACTACAGATAAAATTAGCAAAATCCTCCATAAACACAATATCAAAACAGCCTTTTGCACCAACCAAAAAATAGCCAATATCCTCAGAAACCCCAAGGATAAAATCCAGTTGGAAAACCAAGGAGTCTATGAAATACCCTGCAAAGTCTGCCCAGCCACGTACATTGGACAAACAAACAGACGAATAAATGCACGTATCGCAGAACACAAGAATGCCGTCAAAAAAGAAGAAAAAACTTCCTCTCTTTTCCAACACATGAAAGAAACAGGACACGAAATTAATTTTGCAGATTCCAAATTGCTCTCTAACATGGAACATCACCACAAGAGAATAATCATGGAAGCCATCGAGATAGAGAAACACCCTCACAACATGAACAAGCGTGACGACACATCCCGCCTGCCAGACATCTGGAAATTAGCCCTCCCCACAAAAACCGACACCAGATCCAGAGGCACACAGAACGCCATCACCAATCAACCACACCAGACCCAAACCCAGACCCTCTCCACAGATAAATTACAGACACCATCCAGTAGCCAAACCATGGTGGCACCTCCGGATGCTGCACCCCCCTGCAATCCCTACACAGATCTGGCTGGCACAGGACACAAAACCACAGCTCGCCCCTATACACGAAGCCAAGCCAGAGCACAACTAAGTGCAGTACAGCCATCTTCTCAGAAAAACTCTTCACAAAGTTCAAGAGGTCAAGACACGAAGGCTTTAGCAACTAATCCACACCTAATGACCCACCTAAGTGGTACTCAGGATATCACTCAAGAAATCACTCAAGATATCCCTCAAGTAATTAAGGAACAAAAGAAGAAAAGGCACACTAGCCTGGGAACTTCCTCTCTGCCCAGAACATTGGAGGCTATACACCACACCCCCTCAACAGTATTTATAGGAACTCAAACACTGAGATCCTGCTCTGTTCCAGTAACAAGAAGCCGAAAGCACCAGCCTGAAGATGACGAGTGAGACCTCGTCGAAACGTCGCCTAGACACCCCAACTTTTACACGGGAAGACACCCGAGGACACCAAAACCTGCATATATATATATATATATATAAACTTTAATGACATGTGTGTGTCTTTCTTTACATAGACATAAATTACATGTAATAATGGATGAAATTTATATGCTGTCTGTATATGGTGATGCCACATTCACAAGCATTCTTAGCTTGGAGAGGTGAGTGTACCTTCCTGTTGCTTTTTTAGAAAAAAATAATGTCAGCTTTTTAGTTGAGTAACATAGCAAATCTCTTCTTTTTGTTTATATATGCACACATAGTCTACCAGTTACTGTATGCATAAATTCTTCTTTCAAAGTAATTATTGGTGATGTGGTAGCGTATGTATGATTTTCAAGGGTTGGTAGACTTTTTTTTGTCTTGCCATTCTCCGACAAAATCCTACATGTCAATTGATTTAGGACTAAGCAGACCATTGCTCATATGTGAATTTAATGCTAACTACTATTGTAGTGACGTGGGTGGCGCTGTGGGTTAAACCACAGAGCCTAGGACTTGCCGATCAGAAGGTTGGCTGTTCGAATCTCCGTGACGGGGTGAGCTCCCGTTGCTCGGTCCCTGCTCCTGCCAACCTAGCAGTTCGAAAGCACGTCAAAGTGCACGTAAATAAATAGGTACCACTCCAGCGGGAAGGTAAATGGTGTTTCTGTGCGCTGCTCTGGTTTGCCAGAAGTGGCTTAGTCATGCTCGCCACTTGACCCGGAAGCTGTACGCCGGCTCCCTCAGCCAATAAAGCGAGATGAGCACCGTAACCCCAGAGTCGGCCACGACTGGACCTAATGATCGGGGTTCCCTTTACCTTTACTATTGTAGCCATTCTGCTTCCTCTGCATGCCAGGGGGCTCCTCATACAGGTCTGTTGTAACTCTGCCCAGTGTGCATGCATGCTGTAACATGTTAGGTCACTTAGTGCAAGCCAAAATTCTTCCATGTCTCACTTGGAAGTATCTAGTGTTAAGTTCCTTTCTGGACTTTTACATATGTTGCATGCTTTGAGGAGAGTGGGGTAGAGCTGAGTAGCAACTGGTCATTGGTGAAGTAAGAGAGAGCCTGCTTTGCAAGTAATGTGCCCAGCGCAGCTGGGTTGCAGCCATCACAAGGGTAGCAGGAAAGTATAAAATTATGGCGAAATACATCTGCACCCTGTTGTCCACATGCTGAAGGAGCGGGACTATTTACTGTATTCCTTCATGTGGCAAGTAAATTATACCTTCTTTAGCGGGGGGGGGGGGGGAGAGACTGCCATCCAGTGCATAAATAATAAATAGACCATAATTAGGACTTCCTTGATCCAGATATCTGTATGTACTTCAATGCACATGCACACAGGGATTTGCATTCATTTCTCTGGAGAGTACAGAACATGTGCTGTCTGTGCTATGGATTTCTATATCTCCAATATTTTGCTGGGTCGGGGTAAATTGCCATTGTCCTTACAACTGAAAAGTGTTGATTCCCCACCCCAAATAAATGTAAGACATTAATTATCTTGAAATCTTTCTCTTTAGTTTACCAGATCCAGACCGGACACACTTTATGTGGGGATTTAGTAAGGTAGGTTAGAAATATGTTATCAATTTTTCTCCAAAATGTACTTGAATTCTTGAAACTGTCAAATTCTTCCATCTACCCAATTCATTGTTCCAAATAAATTTTGATGTGAGAATTTAAAACCTACAGTGTAATCATAGATTATAATGTTTGCCTCTGCCACAGTTGCACAGCAGGTCTACCCATTAGTGGAAGATGGTATTCTGTTATAAACTCAGTATCATTTGCAACTATCCCAAGAACTATCAGGCAACTAGGTGGCTCACCAGAAGCTGGCCAGTAGACTATGAACTACTTTATGCTCTTCCATAGTTTAGGATATGACTTGCAGTGCAGTGCAAACCTTATGGATGTTTATTTCGATGTAAATTCTACTCCAAAATAAATAGATTGCAGCCTTAGGGTGGCTTCTGATTGCTTAGGCTGCAGAATATCCATTTATAATCTCTCACCATGTGGGAGCTGCAACTACATGTTGATTTGGTTAACTCTAGCAACCAGTGACAGGTGACATTCTCTTGCTTGCTACAAAAATAGGGGGTTTGAGAGGGCCAAGTAAGGTTGGCTGCAAACAACCAGGACCCTGTGTGGATGCAAGTGCCACATATTGTTTATAATTTCACTTGTTCTACCACACTGGAAATCTAAAACTAGTCTTCAGGGATCATCATATAGGTTTCAGCCAAAAATTCTAACCTAATGAAATACTTTATGCAAATCAAATCAATTATTCTGCTTTTGTTTCTTAATACGTAAATGGACTTTAAAACTTTTTGTATAGAATGTTAAGTGCTTTGAAACTTGAGAAATTATATTTTATTACAAGAATCAGAAATTATTTAGTCTTCATTGGATAATGCTAATTTGGATAGAAGTGTGCTTTGTTTACGAATTAACATTTTAGAGAGACTTTTTAATTACAAACTTTCCCCCCTTCCCTTTCAAGGATTTTGGCATGTGTGGCATCAGAGTTGGAGTATTATACACCAGAAATCATGAGGTCAGGAAAGCAGTTAATCAGCTGGCTGTTTTCCATGGTTGTCCTGGACCAGTGCAATATGTTCTCAGCCAGATCCTTCGTGACAGAGGTTAGCAAACTTGAAAGTGCACAAACACACATGGCCCTGATTCCAAGTAATGAACACCAGTCCTCACACTATATAGTTACTGCAGACCAGGAAAATCCAGCTCTGTTTTTTTCTGTGTGCCTGGCCAGACCGTGATCTAGCCAGCTTTATTCCACAGTTTCAAATTATTTATGAACTACATTCATTTTCATTTATTAGATATATTGTTGAAGTTCGTGTAAAGTGGCTGAATTGGTGTTGGGTCCATCTGAGCAACCAGGGAACAAGTTCTGTACAGAACCTGTCTCATCTTGCTTTGCCTTGCCTGTAGTTACCTTGCCATCATTAACTATTAGGACTGATGCCAGCAAAACAGAATTTCCAGATTAGTTAACTCGTTTAGCTGGTGATGTGAAACGCCTCTCTCCTTGAAAACCACTGCCAGTTACAGTAGACAATGCTGGGTTGGATGAACAAATAGTCTGACCTGGAATAAGAATTTTCTTAACTTCATAACACTGAAAACAAAAACCCTCTCAATCACATAAGCTACGTTTTACACTTTACATTTGCCATGCAGGATCCCTTTAACAGAGTGCCTGCTGTTCCCAAAGTTCCCTACCCCTTAATTTGTCAAAGTACTACTAAGACTGAATAATACAAAGAGGGGGGGAAACAGTGTGGTCTGATTTGTGCTCTTATTTTGGCAGAATGGCTGGATAATGTGTTTTTCCCAACCAATAAAAGAAGACTTAAGGAAGCACAGAACATTCTTGTGGATGGTCTTGCAGAGATGGGAATACCTGTTTTTAAAAGCTCAGGAGGATTATATGTGTGGGCTGACTTCAGAAAAGTACGTGGAGGACCTGGAGGGCTCAGGGAGGGTGGATTAAAGGACATAAATACAGTTGGCTGTATTGTGGCTGGTCTTGTGAGCTCCTTCCTTCCTGCCGGGCTTTGTATTCAAAATAGGACCTGCCCCTTCCAGCGAGACATTGAGAGAGCATAGGCTTATGAGCAAACCCATTCGGAAGAATGCATCATCCCAATGCTATCCGGCACTTCTGGTCTGCGACTGGACCAGTCCCCTGCCCCTTGTACGTGCCCAGTCTCAAAGTGCACCAGGTTTTCATTATTGATAAGGGCTTGGAGCTCCCCACCCTGCACCCTTAAAAGAGGCTTTTGAAAAAAAAGTACTCTTCATTAATTTTGGACATAGTTAAGTGCCTAAACCATCAGAGGAAGGAGGGACGGAGGCTGGTGCTACCCGCATTACACCTGACCATCATTTAAGGTGCCCCAGCATACTGTGGCACACCGGTTGAAAACCACTGAATTAAATCATAACATGATAAACAATAAATAAATGGTGCAGCATCTGGTCCTAAATAATATTTTGAGTAATTGGCTAAGCAAGAAAAATAATAGAGCACCAAGGCTTCAATTGAACTCAAAAGATGCTTTGATAAACCTGATCTTTTGGTTCTTTTGCGGGTGGGGAGGTCAAGTGCTTTGTTTGCTAATGTGTATCTTTGTTTTCTCTTAGTTCTTAAAGTCACAGACATTTGAAGCTGAAATGGATTTATGGTGGAAAATTCTTGGTGAAAAGCTGCTCATTAGTCCTGGGAAAGCCTTTTGCTGTTACGAACCTGGATGGTTTAGGCTGGTCTTCTCAGATTCTATAGACAGAATCTACCTGTGTAAGTTTCAATTCTATAAAAGGGTTATCTGATCTCTTTCTCCTTTCTCATCCTTCACTCAGCTATATGCACTGTCATAGACTTTCAAGCCATCAAGGAATATATACAGCCTTACAATATGTTCTGTACTGCATACAAGCAGACATTTAGGAAATATCTTATGCCTTTAAAATGTTTATGTTGCTTCCTTTTTGTAGGTATTCAGAGACTTCAGCAAATGCTACGTGATAAAATAGATGAACCTATAGCTTCATCTCATGAAGAAAACGAGCATATTGAATTAGATGATGAAACCTCAGCCAACTACATAAATACATCAGTGGATGATGTCTCAGAAGGATATTCACACTTGAAGAAAATATCTGTCTTCTAAGAACCTGAATGCTAAAACAAAGCATGGCATATTTATATTTACTGTAACTCTGACTCCCCTTTGTTTTGTTTCGTATGGCAGGCAGGCATTAACATTTTGTTGTAACCTATGGTTACTAATTTGACTATGGAGATTCTACTTATTTGCAACCTGGCAGACTTTCTGTCCTATATTCTCCTCATTGGAATACTTAGTTCTGTTCCTCAGAACACTATGGGCCAAATTAGATGCAACAGTGACTTCTACCCAGCTGTTTTTTCCCTAGAGGAATTTCAAAGCTAAAGGTAACCCCTGTTAGGACAAAAATAGGTGGGAAAGGTGCAAGGGAAACATCATTGGAGGAGGGAGAGGTTCAGCACCTCCCATTTGTCCCCAGGATACTGTATTATTGACCATGCTTAAACTATATGCACAGAGTTGAAACTAGGCCATTCTCCTCCTCCTCCTCTCCCCCTTTATAGAATTCAAATTAGGTCACACCACCATCTTATTTTCAAGTATTTGAATTTCATTAATATTCAGGTCAAGCATGTGACTGATGCTTTGAACATGGACAATCTGCAGAATAGAGCTGAATCTTGCACATTATCTTGCATATATCTCTTGGTTCATATAGGGCACTGGATAGCTCAGTTGGTTAGAGTGTGGCATTGATAACACCAAGGTTGTATGTTCAATCACTGTATGGAATGGTTGCGTATTCCTGCATTGCAGGGAGCTGGACTTAGATGATCTTCAGGATCCCAACTCTACAATTCTATGATTCTAAACATTGGTCCAAAAAGCTATATACTTTGTATGTAAATACATTAGAAAATGTTGACTCAGTTGATAATTGGCTGTTAATAACTAGTTGCCAACTCACAGACTGTTTTTATAATGCACAGAAAGTAATCTAAAACAAAGAAGCTTGGATTTTCTATATGGGTGTTATCACTGTAACTGCTTTCTAAGAAAGTGTCTAAATCTTGTTTTCATTCTGTTGCTGAAAAGGGTTTATTTGTACATTTTGCTGTTGCATATCATTCTTGCAAAATCCTTGCACTCTCAGATAAGTTTTGCACTCTTAACATAAATATTTTTTTAAAACATACGCTTGGTTGTGCTGATTGGGAAAGGAGCGCGGATATTTGTGTAATTTAAGATCCAATACAGTTTACATACGTTGTCACTGATGAGGTGGGCTGTTTTCATAGCTACTAGCTTTTAAATCATTGTGATTATATAAAAGAAAACCCTGGATTTTTTATTGCTGCGGTTTAAATTACAGGCCAGAATAGAACTAGGATTTTGGTTAGTACCTGAAGCCACAACTGCTGTTGCCCAATGTTGGTTCTACTTCAGCTGTGCGAGGACAAGAGCAGAATTTACTTTGGTTCTAGGGCAGTATAGCAATATGCATACCTTGCCTATTTTTTCTGCAGGTGTTACACCTTGGATAGAGGAAAGGTAGATCCCAACTGCAGTTGGGAAATGAGCCTGAAATTTTAAGGAAGTAATGCATAGATGCCTAGAGCTTGCGCCGGATCTAACAGCAAATCCAGGCTGCAAACCTGATACTTAAGAGGGAGTACCACTTGCCTAGAACAGGTAAAACCCCATCCTTTTCCAGATGGATCAGTTATCAACCAAATTCCTATTGTGGTTCAGTTTATTGTTATTTATCAATCATCTTCCACATACATTCTAAAGTGATGTAATATGGACTTTAGACACGACATTTTCCACCATTTTATCTATTAAAGGTAAAGGTAAAGGTACCCCTGCCCGTACGGGCCAGTCTTGCCAGACTCTAGGGTTGTGCACTCATCTCACTCTATAGGCCGGGAGCCAGCGCTGTCCGCAGACACTTCCGGGTCACGTGGCCAGCGTGACACCGCTGCTCTGGCGAGCCAGCGCAGCACACGGAACGCCGTTTACCTTCCCGCTGGTAAGTGGTCCCTATTTATCTACTTGCACCCGAAGGTGCTTTCGAACTGCTAGGTTGGCAGGCACTGGGACTGAACAACGGGAGCGCACCCCGCTGCGGGGATTCCAACCGCCGACCTTTCGATCGGCAAGTCCTAGGCGCTGAGGCTTTAACCCATTTTAAATAAATAACCCATTTAAAATAAATAATTTTATCTGTTATTGAAAGGGAAAGTAGAGCTCGGTGTCATCAGTACATTGCATGCAATAGCTTCCTTGGGTAGGTGTTGAAAGGCTCCCCAAAGATAGAATTGCTAAGCATGAAAGTGCAAGTATTATGGGGCAGTAGTCCCCCGCTCCCAAATTATTTTTGAAATGGCCTGCTCAGCTACATAGGAATGGACTCACTTGAAGCATGGTGCCACCAGTTCCTACACTAACTAGGGGGTGTAAAAACGATACCATGGTTGATAGTATTTATTACTGAGAAGCCAAGGAGAATTGTGTGGATCACTATATTGTTGTGCTAGCATAGGTCATCCTAGTAGTTTTGGGGTCAAATGGAAGTCTGAAGTTAGACTGAAACAGATCCATGATAATTGTTTAAGAGAATATACATAGCCTAGCAAACATGCTTAAGCATCTTTCACAGGAAAAGGATAACAGCAACTAGTGGTGGTTAAAATATCCTCTCTCCAATGAAGATTTATTTATGTATTTCAATGTGGCTGTACTTGCCCCTCTCTTAACAGTGTTTACTCCCTTTACATCTTACCTGGCACAAAGTAAGACAATTCTTATGAACCTTTGGCAAGCAGCTATTTAAAAGTCTGCTCAGTTGAAACTCTTGTAGTTTCAGAAAATTAACAGCATAATCTTGTAGTAAAATTTGTTTATTTGGGCAAAGAACAAGGATAGGGATCTTGCGACAATCCAGATGGTGTTGAACTAAAACTCCCATTAGCCCTGACCACTGGCCATGCTGGTTGCGGCTGATAGGAGTAGGACTCCATGTATTTTGTACTATAACAACTGCAAGCTCCCCATCCCTGGCATATAGTAATTTGGGGGAGGAAATGAACACCTGCAATTATGCCTTCCCATCACGACAGTAACTGAACTTAAGTTCTATTTACTAGATGCAATGGTTTTTGTAAATGAACACACAGATACACAAGTTTTTCACAGTGATAGTGACAACAGGCTTTTTTGTGAAGAAAGGTAGTCAATAACTTTATTTTTGTATAAAGCAATACGAACAAATACAAAATGTACAGCTTCTCACTAGACTCAACAAGCATGTGAGAAGTTACTTTTGACAGAGGAGAAGAAAAACAAGTTTCAAATAACGTGAAGAAATTTTGATTTTGAAAAAGGCACCCAAATTTAAATAATAAATAAAAGTCACTCATAGGCCTAGCTGGATATACTAAAACATAAACATTTGTGAAAATTAATATACATAAAAAGGAGTCTCTCAAGAGCAAGACACACTACAAGCTGCTGGCAACAGTTTCCTTGATAGAAATTGCTGGGGTAGGTCCAACGTGAGTCCAGATATAACCTTTTTCTGGTCTAGTAGGAATGGTAGGGAAAGGAGAGGACTGAGATTTGAAATATTCTGAAGGCGCATGACAAACAAACTCTAAGTACTCAATTTTTCTTGGAAGATCTTCTTCTGGCCCTTAAATAAAAAAATGAAAAAGTTAGTTGGTTATCTCCCCACTTGGAGCTTTATGGTACATCCAGTTGGCCATTGTCATATTTCTCCTAAAGTATCACTAGCAAGACAGGTACTTTCCCCAGCATGGATATAGCTCTATGCAGGAAATAAAGCTATGCAAGCTGGGCCTGCAGTGTTCTCCAAAAAACATTAGATGGGAGAATCTAATACGAAGTCCTCCATCCTCCAAAGTAAGGGCAAAACACAGAATTGTATAAAATGCAGCAACACAAGGATACCTGGTATCTCGCTCCTCCTAGGAAAGAATTTCAGCTGGTTTTAGATCAATACCAACACTACTAACAAACAGCAGGGGAAAGGAAGGACTTGCACAGCTTGGGGCTGTGTAACCATACTATTGATGATGATGGAAGAGGGGCATGCATTCAGCATGTTGCATCTCTGTAGCAGGCATGTTGCCCTCCAGCCCAGTTTCTTTGGGCCTAAGAAGAGAAGGTTCACATGTGTAGAGGACCTTGTGTGTCCATAGCAACTTATCCCCGCCGAAAGTAGCTAGGAGACAGTTTTATCTAGTGGTACTATTGATTTCTACTGAGAAAGACACTCCAACATCAGCACGCTTCCCAGGAGAACATGTTGCTGTCAAATATACAACTCTGAACTTCATTTCCAACACAAATATACATCTCTGCCAGAACTGCAATTCATGAGCAAGTCTAAAGGCAATGCTGCTTAACTAGCTTGTACTACAGGATAAAAAGAAATCTAGCACTGTGGAGTTATATCACATGTAGCACTTTCTGCTTTGTCAGGACAGGTAGAATTTTAACATTTTGGGCCTTGGAACTTACCTATTATGTAAGTTGCAGGGTCAAAACAGTCTTTGGGGCTAGCTGCAGTAGGAATGAGCCATGTTAAAGCTGCACTTTTTTCGCAGTATTGGTCTTGAATAAACCCTCTAATCTGAGCATAGTATGTTTTACCATCCTGCTCATCAATCACTGAAACAACATCTCCAATCTGATAGTAAACTCCCTAGAAAAGATATAGATCATTAGAATTAACTGATAATAGTTTCCGCTTCGGTGTCACAGAGTGAGCTGGCCAGTAGTCACACCAGAGATAACTCGTTATTAACCAAGTCTGTGAAGATACCGTTCTTGTCGAGTGTCAGGCCTAACAAGTACAACAGCTCATCCCCAGTAGGTCTTACCCCATTAAATCAATTGCCAAGACTGGAAGTCCCTGCCTCCCCACAACCATCTAAGTCCCCTCCTCTCCAGGGCTTTTCCCAAGCAATTAAGAGTCACCGCTCCGCCTGTTTCAACCCTCTTCTAGTTCTGGGATATGGGGGAAGGGGAGCTTGTTGCAGCAGGATGGGGGCACACCCTTGACCCTTCACCAGCCTGCCTCATCTCTATTGGCCTCCATCCTCCCACTTGCCAGCTTCGGCTTCAGCCTCTGACTTGGATTCTGAACTTCTCTCTGCCACAGGTTCTCCCAGCTCACAAAGCCCTGTTACCTCCTCAGCTTCCAACCCCTCCTCTTCCCAGTCTTCTCCCTCATGGTTGTCCCACCACCGCTCCCCAGGCTCTTATCCTTCTTCCCTTGTTGGTCCCCATCTGGTCTATGTACGTTATCCGTTTCCCCCACGTTGCAGTTGCAGAAAGCCATATTTGCATTTTCCCTTCAGTGAGGCCACAGTACTAAGTTTAAGGGAAATTTCAGTGTTCCCTGACAACAAACAGGATTGAAACAACGTGCCTGCATCATTTTTCTCCTTCCCCTAAAATATGGCTGTTCAGAGTTTTAGTCTGCACTTCTACGGCAATAATGCTGATTTAATGTGGTTTAAAAACATATAAATATGTTAAAATAAATAAAAATAGTATTTTCATATCTTTTTAGAGACAGATAAGGATATTGATAAAATGGCTGTCAAGCTGCTCCAAATAAGTAAGTTAGAGTTTCAATACAGTAACATAAATAAATATATAACAGTTTCAAGCTATGTCATAGCAAACGATTTGATAGTAACTAATGGAGTTTATCAATTTGAAAATATCAACTACTTTGTTCTTGAAGAGTATGAACTACACCAGAAAGTCTCAGTTCAGTCAGTCATGAACATGCTAGCATCCTTAGCAAGTTATGCGTTTAGGAAACTTCAGTAACAATGTACAGGAAAAATGCAAATTACAGTGCAGATTTATAGTGCTACTGCAAAAACACTAAATACATACTGTATGTTTGAGTCACAGTCCAATATATTTTCTTACCAAGTACTCATTTAAAGATTTATTAACTTTTGAAACACTTCTATGTTCATAAACTTCTAATAACATACCTTATGGAAGATAGATTCTGCTGTAATAATGGTAGCTACAGACTCTGGAGCTTTGATGGGCTGAAAAAGGAAGTTTATAATGATTAAACTGCACAAATAACGTAACAGTGTCAAAATAAAAATATAATGCATTTTTTGTAAATGAGATTTGGATGAAAAATTGATAATCTTTGGACCACTATATATGAAAACATCAAGAAATTAATAGCTTCAGTATCAGTAAGCTTTGACAAAATACATCTACCGTATATTTGTTACATGTTTTAACCAAGAAGGATTTCACATTCAGAAATGCATAGAATATTGATATTATACACAAATGAAAAAGTCTTTTAAGACATCGCTCAAGAGTCATTTTGCACATTATGCTCAACAAGTATGAGCTGAAGCATACTAAATACATCTATTTCAATGCAATAATATGCATAGTCTTATGTGATGAATACTCATGGTTCTTCAGGAAAGCAATACTAATGCAGCAAAGTTGTATATAATTTGATAAGCATGTAGGAAAATATTTATATTTGGTGCAGCCTTTTGTAAACCTTACTATTTTTAGTACAGCACCTGCCACACTGCTTTAATTTAGAAAGTGCTCAACTGTAGCTGGAGTCCATAATCACCTTACATTTTTCAACTTAAAAATATGCCTTCTCCCTTTTCCTTTAGTGGAAACTTTCTTTTCAGCAGCTGGAGCAGACTTGTATTTTGTGTTTCTTAATCGAGCAGATCTTCTGTGAATCTCTTGCTTACTCTAGTGTACAAAAGTAAGAAATAGTATCAATTCATTAGTATATACATGATCAAATATACAAGACATATATATATAGTTATTCATAGGGCAGGGGGACACAGTAGGACCCACTTTCCCCAGGCCAGAAAGAGATGAAACACCTATTCTAAACACATTTACTAAAAAAGTACATGCCGCTAATTTCAACAGAAATATTTTTATTTGTTTCAAGTGCTTAAACACTGTTGTTCAAAAAAATTTCCACAGGGTAGCTAATAATAATAATAATTTTATTTGTACCCCATCCTCCCCAGCCGGAGCCGGGCTCAGGGCGGCTAACATCATAAAACTAACACAGTATACAATGAAAGAATGGGTATCAATCTAGAGAGTTTCAGCAACTCAGAAATAATTTCAAATCATAGCAGAATTTACAGCACAGTCCTATGCATGTTTACTCAAAATTCCCACTATATTCAATGGGATTTATTCCCAGATAAGTGAGCCCAGGATCTCAGCCTAAGGCTGCAAACCAATATAGAATTATCTGAGAGTAGGCTAGTTTCATGCCTAAGATATGTGGTGTTCTGGCACTCCCCTCAGCTCCCCTGTACCACCGCACCATTCTTTGTAAGAAAACTGGGTTTCTGATAGGTATTTCTGAATTTTCCTTCTTGTTTCCACACCAGACACAATATTATGAATAGTTCTCATCTCTGACATAACCAGTCAAGAGGCATGTGGTGCAATACGGCGCTTATTAAAAAAACAAATAAGGGTTTGATGATCACAGGGTTCAGAAGCATATGGTATCGGTTTGGTATCATTTGTTACTATTTTCTCATATAAAAACGGGTCTGCATAAAAGGCGGATCTACACGGATCCTCATGGATCCTCCACTTTTTAAAAAATTATTCCAACAAATGCAGTGTCAAATCACACCTGGAAGGCACGCCTACAAACTGGACTATAAAAAACGTGGATCCAACACTTTGCCGCGCTGCAGCACCATAAAAACATGGATCCGAGGCACGGATCCTCATGAATTCATATGATTTTTATATTGAAACAAAATAAAAACACCATGCTACTGTAGACCACATCTTAGTCTGTAGGAGGAACCAAAAAAATCACGCATCCACTGTTTCGTGGTGCCGCAATGGCGCAAAAACATGGTTAAAAAACACGGATCCTCATGAATCCTCATGATTTTTGCACTAGATCAGCCCAAACTCACTTTCAAATTACACATCATGTCCAGGGGCACAACATCCACCAGAGAAATCACGGATCCATGGCTTCCTGGCCATACCATGGCCCAAAAACGTGGTTTTCAAGAACAGATCCTCATGGATCCTCACACTTTTTGCATTGGACCAACCCAAACTCACCCTCAAATCACACATCATAGCCAGGGGCACAGCCTACACCACAAAAAACTCAGATCCACGCCTGCCTGGCCACGCCCTGGCCCAAAAACGTGGTTCCGAAGCACGGATCCTCATGAATCCTCATGATTTTTGCACTAGATCAACCCAAAGTCACCATCAGATCAAACATCATGGCCATGGGCACAGCATCCACCACAAAAATCACGGATCCATGGCTTCCTGGCGAAACCGTGGCCCAAAAACGTGGATTTCAAGAACGGATCTTCATGGATCCACACGCTTTCTTTATCGGGCCAACCCAAACTCACCGTCAAATCACATATCATAGTAAGGGGCACAGCCTACACCACAAAAAACTCGGATCCACACCTGCCTGGCCACTCCCTGGCCCAAAAACGTGGTTCCGAAGCACGGATCCTCATGAATCCTCATGATTTTTGCACTAGATCAGCCCAAAGTCACCATCAGATCAAACATCATGGCCATGGGCACAGCATCCACCAGAAAAATCACAGATCCACGACTTCCTGGCGAAACCGTGGCCCAAAAACTTGGTTCCGAACCACAGATCCTCATGGATCCTCACGCTTTTTGCATTGGGCCACCCGAAACTCACCGTCAAATCACACATCATGTCCAGGGGCACAGCCTGCACCACAAAAATCACGGATCCACGTCTTCCTGACCATACCGTGGCCCAAAAACGTGGTTTTGAAGCACGGATCCTCATGGATCCTCACGCTTTTTGCATCGGGCCACCCCAAACTCACCGTCAAATCACACATCATGTCCAGAGGCACAGCCTGCACCACAGAAAACTCGGATCCACGGCTTCCTGGCCACTCCAAGGCCCAAAAACGTGGTTCCGAAGCACGGATCCTCATGGATCCTCACGCTTTATGCACTAGATCAGCCCAAACTCACCGTCAAATCACACATCATTCCCAGGGGCACAGCCTGCACCACAAAAAACTCGGATCCACGGATTCCTGGCCACTCCATGGCCCAAAAATGTGGTTCCGAAGCACGGATCCTCATGGATCCTCACGCTTTTTGCGTTGGGCCACCCCAAACTCACCGTCAAATCACACATCATGTCCAGGGGCACAGCCTGCACCACAAAAAACTCGGATCCACGGCTTCCTGGCCACTCCATGGCCCAAAAACGTGGTTTTGAAGCACGGATCCTCATGGATCCTCACGCTTTTTGCATTGGGCCACCCCAAACTCACCGTCAAATCACACATCATGTCCAGGGGCACAGCCTGCACCACAAAAAACTCGGATCCACGGCTTCCTGGCCACTCCATGGCCCAAAAACGTGGTTTTGAAGCACGGATCCTCATGGATCCTCACGCTTTTTGCATTGGGCCACCCCAAACTCACCATCAAATCACACATCATTCCCAGGGGCACAGCCTGCACCACAAAAAACTCGGATCCACGGCTTCCTGGCCACTCCATGGCCCAAAAAGGTAGTTTTAAAGCACGGATCCTCATGGATCCTCACTCTTTTTGCATTGGGCCAACCCAAACTCACTGTCAAATCACACATCATGTCCAGTGGCACAGCCTGCACCACAAAAAACTCGGATCCACGTCTTCCTGACCATACCGTGGCCCAAAAACGTGGTTTTGAAGCACGGATCCTCATGGATCCTCACGCTTTTTGCATCGGGCCACCCCAAACTCACCGTCAAATCACACATCATGTCCAGAGGCACAGCCTGCACCACAGAAAACTCGGATCCACGGCTTCCTGGCCACTCCAAGGCCCAAAAACGTGGTTCCGAAGCACGGATCCTCATGGATCCTCACGCTTTATGCACTAGATCAGCCCAAACTCACCGTCAAATCACACATCATTCCCAGGGGCACAGCCTGCACCACAAAAAACTCGGATCCACAGCTTCCTGGCCACTCCATGGCCCAAAAACGTGGTTTTGAAGCACGGATCCTCATGGATCCTCACGCTTTTTGCATTGGGCCACCCCAAACTCACCGTCAAATCACACATCATGTCCAGGGGCACAGCCTGCACCACAGAAAACTCGGATCCACGGCTTCCTGGCCACTCCATGGCCCAAAAACGTGGTTTTGAAGCACGGATCCTCATGGATCCTCACGCTTTTTGCATTGGGCCACCCCAAACTCACCGTCAAATCACACATCATGTCCAGGGGCACAGCCTGCACCACAAAAAACTCGGATCCACGGCTTCCTGGCCACTCCATGGCCCAAAAACGTGGTTTTGAAGCACGGATCCTCATGGATCCTCACGCTTTTTGCATTGGGCCACCCCAAACTCACCGTCAAATCACACATCATGTCCAGGGGCACAGCCTGCACCACAAAAAACTCGGATCCACGGCTTCCTGGCCACTCCATGGCCCAAAAACGTGGTTTTGAAGCACGGATCCTCATGGATCCTCACGCTTTTTGCATTGGGCCACCCCAAACTCACCATCAAATCACACATCATTCCCAGGGGCACAGCCTGCACCACAAAAAACTCGGATCCACGGCTTCCTGGCCACTCCATGGCCCAAAAAGGTAGTTTTAAAGCACGGATCCTCATGGATCCTCACTCTTTTTGCATTGGGCCAACCCAAACTCACTGTCAAATCACACATCATGTCCAGTGGCACAGCCTGCACCACAAAAAACTCGGATCCACGTCTTCCTGACCATACCGTGGCACAAAAACGTGGTTTTGAAGCACGGATCCTCATGGATCCTCACGCTTTTTGCATCGGGCCACCCAAAACTCACCGTCAAATCACACATCATGTCCAGAGGCACAGCCTGCACCACAGAAAACTCGGATCCACGGATTCCTGGCCACTCCAAGGCCCAAAAACGTGGTTCCAAAGCACGGATCCTCATGGATCCTCACGCTTTATGCACTAGATCAGCCCAAACTCACCATCAAATCACACATCATTCCCAGGGGCACAGCCTGCACCACAGAAAACTCGGATCCACGGCTTCCTGGCCACTCCATGGCCCAAAAACGTGGTTTTGAAGCACGGATCCTCATGGATCCTCACGCTTTTTGCATTGGGCCACCCCAAACTCACCGTCAAATCACACATCATGTCCAGGGGCACAGCCTGCACCACAAAAAACTCGGATCCACGGCTTCCTGGCCACTCCATGGCCCAAAAACGTGGTTTTGAAGCACGGATCCTCATGGATCCTCACGCTTTTTGCATTGGGCCACCCCAAACTCACCATCAAATCACACATCATTCCCAGGGGCACAGCCTGCACCACAAAAAACTCGGATCCACGGCTTCCTGGCCACTCCATGGCCCAAAAACGTGGTTTTGAAGCACGGATCCTCATGGATCCTGACTCTTTTTGCATTGGGCCAACCCAAACTCACCGTCAAATCACACATCATTCCCAGGGGCACAGCTTACACCACAAAAAACTCGGATCCACGGCTTCCTGGCCACTCCAAGGCCCAAAAATGTGGTTTTGAAGCACGGATCCTCATGGATCCTCACGCTTTTTGCATTGGGCCAACCCAAACTCACCGTCAAATCACACATCATGTCCAGGGGCACAGCTTACACCACAAAAAACTCGGATCCACGGCTTCCTGGCCACTCCATGGCCCAAAAACGTGGTTCCGAAGCACGGATCCTCGTGGATCCTCACACTTTTTGCATTGGGCCAACCCAAACTCACTGTCAAATCACACATCATGTCCAGGGGCACTGCCTGCACCACAAAAAAACTCGGATCCACGGCTTCCTGGCCACTCCATGGCCCAAAAACGTGGTTTTGGAGCACAGATCCTCATGGATCCTCACGCTTTTTGAATTGGGCCAACCGAAACTCACCATCAAATCACACATCTTTCCCAGGGGCACAGTTTACACCACACAAATCTCAGATCCACGGCTTCCTGGCCACTCCAAGGCCCAAAAACGTGGTTTTGGAGCACAGATCCTCATGGATCCTCACGCTTTTTGAATTGGGCCAACCCAAACTCACCATCAAATCACACGTCATAGCCAGGAGCAGAGCCTGCACCATAAAAATTATGGATCCATGGCTTCCTGGCAACGCCATGGCCCAAAAAGGTAGTTTTTGAGCACGGATCCTCAAGGATCCTCACTCTTTTCGCATTGGGGCTCCCCAAACTCACCATCAAATCACACATCAGAGCTACGGGCACAACTCACAAATCATGAGTTGCACTACAAAAATCACAAAAACCCCCTTACCTGCACTGTTAATGTCACCACTGCAATATTATTATTAGAGCCGATAGGAGAATATATGACTACCGTATTTTTCGCTCTATAGGACACACTTTTTACCCTCCAAAAATTAAGGGGAAATGTGTGTGCGTCCTATGGAGCGAATGCAGGCTCCTTGGCTTCAGCGATAGCAACACGAAGCCTCCGAAGCGCAGAGGGAGCGCTCCCTCCACGCTCCAGAGGCTACGCGTTGCTTTCGCTGAAGCCTGGAGAACGAGAGGGGTCGGTGCACACCGATCCTCTTGCTCTCCAGGCTTTGCTCCGTTTCTCATCCCGCTTCGCTGAAGGGGCCGCTGAGCGGAGAGGGGGAGAATTTTTTTCTCCTTGTTCTCCCCCTCCTATGGTTTTGGTGCGTCCTATAGAGTGAAAAATACGGTATATATTGTACCAAGATATGGTTCATCTTCAAGAACAGATCAAATACATGCCAAAGTATTAAAGAGGAGAAAAAATATGAAACTGCTTACATACTGTCAACTAATATCCAGATTCAAGAAAGACTGTATGGCAAACATTTAAATCAGTGAAAATATAGAATCTGAGTCCATCATAACAGAGTTCTACCTTCTGGGTAAATTTATAAACTATTACTCAAATATGACACCAAGCCCGAACAAGCAAAACCTTATATGACAAAATGGATGCAAAAATTTTAAGAGCAGTTCACAGTAGAACAGTGAGAACAATTATGAATAAAGGAATAAAATTTACTGCAAATTAAGCCCTAAAACAAAATTGGTACAGTGGAACCTCGGGTTGCAGACATAACCCGTGACTGAGGCACGTCCGCAACCCACAGCATTCGCATCCTGAAGCGCCACATCTGCACAGGCACTGGTGCAATTTGGCGCTTCTGCGCATATGAAAGACCCAGTTCTCTGAGTGCATGTTCTGGAAGCTGGGCAATAGGGGCAGTACAGGATTCCTTTTGGTGTACTGACCTCCCCCGCTGCACCAAGGATTCCCTGCCCGAGCTGCTTCAGGTCATCGCGGATGTTCTCCTGGAGATACTAGTTTGGTTGTTCTAGGGGATTTTAAACATCCATGCCAACATGACCTTACAAGGGGCTGCTTGGGACTTCGTGGAAAGCATGGCCTCCATGGGGCTGTCCCTGAATAAGTTTGGCCAACTCATAGTCACGGACATGCCTTACACCTAGTGTTCACCAATAGTGACATGGGTGATATGACACTAGGTAAAAGTGAAACAAAGAAGTGCCATGGTCAGATCCACTTCCTGGTGCAACTGGACTTCTCTGTGACCCTTCTCCTCTGCAGAGAGGTGGGACCAATGCGGATGGTCCGCCCCCGCCACTTAATGAATCCAAATGGTTTCCAGAGAGTGGTAGGGTATGCTTTATCCCATGTTGATAGCCTTTCAGCTGATTCCCTGGTGGCCCGCTGGAATGTGGAGTTGACCAGGGCTATCGACTGTCTGGCTCCGAAGTGCCCTCTCCGACTGCATGGAGCCCTGACAGCCCCGTGGTTTTTCTTTGGAGCTGCGGGTGAGGAAACCAATCGCTGAGACGGCTAGAGTGCCAGTGGCAGAAAACTCATTCTGAATTGGGACCGGACACAGGTTAGAGCTCAATGTCGAGCCTACCAAGTGGCGATAGCAACGGCGAAGAAGACTTTCTTCACCGCCTCTATAGCATCTACAGAAAATAGTAGCAGGAGACTCTTTCAGGTGGTTTGCAATTTACGGAACCACCTTAACACCGGGGCCTTGTAAAGACCCAAGACCCTCCTGCAACGATTTTTCAAATTTTTATGCAGATAAAGTTGCTCATATTCGGCAAGGAGGTAGACACCACCGTGGGAGCAGGGTCGGGCGAGAGAGTGCTAGAGCCCTGTCTGGTCAAGTTGCATGGAATCAATTTCAATCCGTTACCCCCGAGAATGTGGACAGGCTGCTTGGATGCGTGAAACCAACCACCTGTCTCCTTGATCCTTGCCCATCCTGGCTAATAAAAGCAAGCGGGAAGGGCTGGGCAATGGGCTCTGCGGGGTGGTGAATGCTTCCCTCTGTGAGGGGGCATTCCCAGACCAGCTGAAAGAGGCGGTCATTAAACCGCTTCTTAAAAAAACATCTTCAGACCCGGCCAGTATGGCCAACTATCGCCCAGCCTCAAATCTTCCATTCTTGGGCAAGGTGATTGAGCGGGTGGTTGCTGAACAACTCCAGGCACGCCTGGAGGATGCAGACCATTTGGATCCCTTCCAATTTGGGATTCAGGTCTCCTCATGGGACGGAAACTGCCTTGGTTGCGACAATCGATCATAACATCCTTCTGGACCGTCTAGAGGAGCTGGGAGCTGAGGGCACTGTTATACAGTGGTTCTGCTCCTTCCTCCTGGGCTGTGTCCAGAAAGTTGTGGTGGGGGATGAGTGTTCAGACTTACTTGTGGGGTGCCTCGGGGTTCCGTCCTCCCCTCCATGCTTTTCAACATCTACAGGAAGCTGCTGGGAGAAATCATCAGGGGGTTTGGGCTTGGTGTCCATCAATATGCGGATGATACCCAGCTCTACCTCTCTTTCAACTCAGAACCAGTGAAGGTGGTGAAGGTCCTGTGTGAGTGCTTGGAGGCGGTTTGGAGATGGATGGCAGTCTAGTGGGGGGATTGAGGTTGATCCTGACAC